GAAGACATTAACGATATATTTTAGCTGCTATTATGCCCTGAACGTATTTAATTTATTGCAATTTCAATTTAGTATTTCAGATCATGAGCAGTTAGAGTCCAGGAAGGAGTCAATCCATCTCTTATGGATTTAGTATATAACTATCAATAAATACATATTTAGTTGTGGTTTTCTAGCCGTCTTTTTAATGTCAATCCCGTAGTCTGGGAATCCGAGACCCAGCAATGTAGTTATTTTCGCATGTTAACGAAAGCTGATCAACAGCAGTTAGCCTGATGGCCTAAAAATGTTAACATAGCACTAAGCCCTCAACAGACCAGAAGAACAAAATGGATAGGTCAATACGGTTAACAACGAATAGGATTACGGCCACTGTGTAATGTCTGAGTGAATGTTACACAAACAATGAATAAAACTACGGTCAATTTTCGCTCAATGTTTGCACAGCTGGTATTGGGTGCATACGTGTAAGAGAAGAGGAAAAATGAACACTTTAATTGCAAAGTGATAGGCAATAACATGGTCCAAGTGTACCTTATGCAATCTTTGTCTGGTTGAGTGAAATTTTACTGGACTAGATTCTAGATTTTTCGCACCGAGGCGCAGTTTCTAAAGAGTTTTGCTATTTATAAAATCATTTTCTGATGATTTTATGAGAAGATCGATCCAAATTGTGGCAGCCAGTTCTCTTGCAGACAGCCCGAAAACCTCGACGCTGAGGAAAAAGGAAGAAAGTATTCGGGGCACAACACAGCCATACCGGGCCTAGCATTGAACCACAATCAAGTCAACAGGGACATACATCCGTTGAATTTGCTCGAAAGAAGTCGACTGAGGGGAGAAGATAAATTAGTTTTATGGCACGACGTTAGCCAGCATTCTTTGTCCAGCCACGGGACAAACAATTTTTCCCCTAGTACAATCGGAAGTCTCGCCAAGAATCTAGAAGGGCCATCATATACTGTCGAAGGGCGGGTGCCCCAAAAGTATTGGAAGAAATGATAAAAACGGGGATTCTCACCATCTCGACGGAAAAGTTTCCTATCTCAAAATTGAAGCATAAGTGTCAACCTGAGATCAACGAAGAGTACAGCGAGCTCCACCAACAACCCGAGCTTGAAGTAAAGTCTTTGCGCTTGGTCTTGGAACACAAGGAGCGGTTGTCCGAGCTACTTTTGTAACATACGACCAGAATGGACGAAAATGCAGATTCGGCAATTTAAAAATATTGGCAGCTAACCTTCCGAATTAGCAGTTTTGAAGGATTAGCAGTGTTATTGGAACGATTAGTCAAACTGTGAGGCTGGAAAATTCTGGTATTTCAATTTTTTAAAAATTCGAAGTATGGCGTCATATTTCTGAGAAACGTCAGAATCGGCCATTTTGGAAGAAAACCAGAAAAAATTGGAACAACAAAATTTGCGATAGCAATAACTACGAGAATTGTAATAGAAAAACAACAACGAATTGCAGAGTCAGCAGAGACCGTTCAGAGATGCAACGATTGTGCCGCTACAATCGTTGCAAGGCCGTTCACAACAACGGTGAAGGGTGGAAAACCAGCCTTCCGGAAGGAAGATAAGAACGTTATTTCCCCGGATTCAGGAATCCGGATGGGTCTCGGGAGTTGAACTGAAACTCTTTTATATAAACTTTTAGCTTCACGGTTATGTTTTGAATTGAATTTAAATAACATTTGGTATCATTTAGCAAGGATGAGAAGCTAGGAGTTGGGGGAAAGGGTTGATCCACCTTCGATGGAGATGATGATTGTTATCTACTGAACAAAAACAATAGTAATATAATAAGTAGTAATAGCCCTGTTTTTAGGAGTGACCTTGTGGTCTGGGGATACTGAGACCCAGCCATGAGCTCACTAATTTTGCATGTAATTAAGTTAATTTGAGTGTTTTGACCGAAGCCGAAAGCAGTAACGTTTTTGTCGACCCCATGTTAGAAAGACCACCAAAAGAACTGGCTTTGGTAGAGACGATGAAAAGCATATAAAGCTCTGTTTAGACAATGGCCAGTCGTCTTAGGACCTAGCTTTATTTTCCGTCGATATGTGCTTCGGGCGAATGTTACAGATATCGGACAAACTCATACACATATTTCTCACTAAAAGTCAAGCTAATCGATTCTAATATCTTTGAATTCAAAACATTTAACTTTTATGCACTTTTTTTCGCATTTTTTACGTTCCAGACTTAGGGTATAGCATCGACAGTAGTTAACGAGACATCTTACAAATAGAAAGCAAGGGTATGGAAGCTTAGCTGAACGCAACTTCATTCTGAAACACCCGCAACAATTAAATCAACGAATTGAAAGAGCAACAAACAAGGAAGTTACGGACATGAGAATCAATGAAATGAAAGCAGATCTTTTTCATCTTTTTACTACAGCAGCTGAACCAGATGACAATGTATCATCTACAATTTCACAGACATTGAAGATCAACTGAACAACAGTCTTGTCCACCGGAAAATCATCTAACGACTAGCAGCACCAACAATATTTTCATCAACTAGCGCTCCCGCGTCTGCAACAAAAACTTCCGCCCCAACCACAGCTTTCTAGACATCATCACTTAATACTTTAGCAACAAGTGTTGCGCCAGAAGCAACCTCTTCATCAACAACGGCCATCGGTTTTACACAACAACATCAACTACCAGATGGGATTTCGTTTCAGACGACAACAATCAACCCACATAAGTATTTCGAAATCCCAAAGGACGAGGCTATCATCAATCTGACATCAATGTCAACAACTGAATCAGGCGACTACAATTATTTCGATCGCCATCGACTCATCACTTAGACACACTTGTGCCCAGAATTGTTTACGGGTTCGGATGGCATCGTGCGCTCGTGTAAATTTAAAACATCGCTTGGTGTTTGATTAAGACCAGCGGTGAAATTTGCCCTCGTAACTCTGAAAAACGAGAGATTTGACGCTACTAGTTCAATTTAAATAAAACAAAAATCGAGCAAAATTCCCTTCCAATTCGGTCTCAAGCTATGACCTCTCTCCGCTAAAGGGTGTTCATAATAAAAATTGTTTCATGAGAATTATCAAAAAGAAGCTGTGAAATTGTAAAAAAAAATTGTCATGATTTGTTGGAACTTGATTATTAGTAAACTTGACTTCTGAAGTAAAGATACAAATAAGGCTCAAAAGCCACCAATTTAAAATTTTTTAATCAAGATTATTAGACATGTCAGAACAATTATTGCAAGGTTCTGATAAGGTTACTGCTGTGGCAAGCCCTAGGTTCTAGGTGGCTCCAGGGATGAAAAAGTAACCCGAGATCTGTTTTCAACAAGACTGACTAAGAATGATTAAACTAAAATTTTTACAGAATGTTTGCGATGTAATCAAGCCTAATGTTTCGACTAGCTATAAATAGGCATTAAAAACAGTTTTTTTAAAATTGTTTCTCGGTAATTTGTTTATTTAAAATGACAAAGGAAAATTATGCTTGCCTCAGCAGAGACACTTCTGTGCAGATTGGTATAAGATTTTTCCTTGGTGAGCAGCCCCTTGTGTAACTATTTTAATAGTCTTAACGATCCATGGTCCTTTTTTCCAAATCTTGTTTCATTTTAGAGTTTAATTTTTCTCAGATCGCATAGTTATAGGCTGGCTCAACAACATTATTTACGAAAACAAAACATTTTTTTCTGGGGTTTTGCCAGTTCATTGTAGATGTTGCAACCAAAAGATAAACATGAGCAAGGGAAATGTTGTTCTACAAAGGCATCAGGGAGCGGTAGCGGCAAGGTGTTGGTGAAACAACTGTGCTTCAAATGCTTGAGTCAGCAAAGAATTAGTAAATGCACAAGCGGTACTTCCTCAACAAGTACAGAGATGAGCACCTTTCAACTATACACATCGAGAAAAGATTGTTTCAAACGCGCAATCAAAAATCCAGTTTTAAACAATTTGACTCTACAGTAGGCAAGTCAACAAAACAGACTACGGATCCAATAGAAACAATTATAGTTAGTAAAAATCAGTTGCAATTCAAGCTAATAATAGTTTTCAACAATGGTTTTTAAGTAGACTGCTATACCATTCTCATTTACTGCAGCAGCTGTTCATATATCCTCAGCAAAACAGCTGAAGCACTTCAAGGTAAACGAAGTCGACAACTACAGCTAAAAATTTGAATACGAGGTGGATTCAGTAAGGACCAAGTTTTTTCCTCTCTATACCAACTGAGAATCAGATGACATAATGCTTTCAAAGCTACATTCAATCTACTCTCAAATAACGCAGTTGAAGCTCTGGATTTTGAGGATCTTGGCTCATACAACTTTAACAGAACGTGCGCAGGCTTCAACCAACTCCGACATCTCAACTTTCCTTATTGAGGAGATAGTTCTGAGCAAACTTTGCCAGGCGTGGAGGTTTTTTGGAAAATTGCGGAGCGCGATATCAGGAAATTTTCTACAGGCCCTTCCTATGCTGTCAAAAATCTACAAGTTCCAACAATCGCATATTATGTGATTGTGTCAATCAATTTTCGATTTGATCAACTCTAAATAGACAACAGAAGAAGAAGACGCTTCTCTCACTGAAAGAGCAAAAAAACTGCTCAATAAAGTTTTACTGTGGAAAAACAAGGCAAAAATGACTAAAAACTACCTTGTTACAAAAACGGCAATCCTTACAGAAACGCCTGAGAAAGAACCCAGGAGCCATTTAATTTCATGAGAAGTTCCCTATAAATAGTCTGGGAATAAAACTACGCTAAAGCTGTTACTTTTCCCACAGCTGAAACTAGTTTGGTACCTCTCACACCAACCGGCTAGTAATCTAAGCAATTCAAGGAAGGTCCATAGGGTGGCAATTGGTGCCTCGATTTACAAAGACGTCTCGTTGATTGCCTTGAAACTGGAGTTGACCTTTTAAAAACATGTTTGGTCTTCTATTATAACTCCGGGAACAAATCGTATTGGCGGATTTTGCTGGCATGTTTTTGAAAGTAGGCCTTAAAAGTAATGTGGCTGGTCAGCTGGAACTTCTCTAAAATTGTAAAAGAAAGACTTCACTTCTCAAGTCAGTAATTCAAAAACAGCAACATTAAATTAGTCGAATGGGACTCATAGCAGAAAATCGCGGACCAAACTTGCTCTCTGACATTCACCCCCCTTGTAAGCCTATGTATCAGTACGACTATTTGAAGAAAAAAAGCCCAAAATGACTATATAAAAAAACACGCCATAGTTCTTTCCGACTCCTTAATAGGGTGCTGTAAACAACAACAAGGATAGACGTTTACTGTGCAAGTAGCACAGAATGTTCCGACCAAAATCTTTTAAAAAAAATACAACAAAGTCTTTCAAATTATTGTCGTTTTTTTCGGCGTGGTGTGATAAAAAGAGCTACACCAAAAATTAAGACACACCCAAATACAATGTTCCTCCCCATTTTCAATGGTCGGAACAAAAAAAAACACGCTTATCTACTCACGAGTCTGTGATAACGTGTATATTAAACACGTAAATTACTATTACATAAATGACCTCAAAATCCTTACAGTGGCGTTTCTAGAATTTCAAAAATCAAATTTGAGCGTGAACAAGTTTTCGACTTTTCCTAAAAAAAGGGGGAAAATCATCTACGATCATCGACTCTTCATAAGTAATACTGGAAAACAACGACAATCTGACTTAAGAAACGGTTCATTTCAGACTTCAATCTAATATAACATAGCCAACTAACCTGAGAATTGGCACAGTAGTTTTCGAGTATAGTCAAAAAGTTTCCAAAACTGGACTTATAGATTTTCTCCGATGGCCGTAACTTACGTTTAAAACTTGGGCGTAGACGCATGTGCAAAGTAGCTTCCTATAACCTGTTCTTTGAATTAAAGCTCAAATCTCAAATATGGGAGAGTAGTTTTCGAGAAGAAACGAAAAGTTTGAAAAAACGGACAAAATCAAAAATTTGACTTTTCTGAGGGCAATAACTTTGGGTTAAAAAACATTGTGTGTGGCCGCTAATGCAGGGCATTGGCTAATGCTACCCCTTATCTCAAATGAACCCACAATCGCAGATTTGAGAGGTTAGTTTTCGAGAAAAATCAGAAAGACTAAAAACAGTCAAAATATCAAAAACTATTCCGAGGGCCAGAACTAAATGTGTAACCAAAATTGGGCATAGACGCTTTTGCAGGGGATCTTTTCAAAAATAGTCCCCCATAGAATTTTTTCGAAGTCTGTACATTAGAGGGGTCACAAGATAAGAGACTAGGAGAATATGCAGGCACACAAGGGAGTAGGCGGTAATTCTATTGATACCCCTTTTTTGAAAGTCTATTCGGAGGTTTTTCTCAAAAGCTTTTGCAAAAAGTTTTTAAAAAAATTCCAAAGCTTCAAAAAAAAATAATTAAAAAACCAATTGCCGAATACCTGTTTTTATCAAACAGTATTGCTGCTAAGCAAAGAAGTCAAGCTAGCCATTTGAATATTAAACAAAGAGGCTATGCGGAGCTTCGCATCACTTGCGATACCACAAAATAGCATTGAAAGCTAGCAGACAGGAAACGAAAAGGGAGCTACTAAGTCCACAGAAAACGGAAAAACTTTTCGAAGAAACCACAACGAAAAAACTTCAAAATGATGTCTGGAATGATGTATCATTTGCGGAAAATACGTCCAGAAACACATTCAACAGCGTTTAATGAAATTTCAAAAACAATTATCGAGCGAAAATAAAATTTTTGTAGAGAAAAATTTTGAACTATAAATTTTACTCTGAGATATTCAATAATTTGTGCAATCCGGAAGAATGCATACATTTATGTTTACCTCAAACGACCAAAAATTAGGTTAGTACGCCGATAAAATATAAGCCAAAATCAATTCGGCCGAAAAAATTTCAAGAAACAAATTGCAGGAATAAATGAATACATAAAAACAACTTAAAACATAGGCGCTACGCGCAATACACCGAAGGCATAGAAACTGAAGCAAAAACCAAACAACTTGAACAACTAATAATTGAAGAATAAACAAAACACACCTGATAAATAAATAAACAATAAAAAAATAAATCAATACATAAATAAATAAATACATAAATAAATAAATAAATAAATAAACGCAAAACTGAAATATACAAATAATTAAATTAACATGAAAAAATATATATCTCATGAACAAATAACCAAACAAACAGACCCATAATATAAATAAATGAAAGTAAATGAATTAAATAAATACACATACATAAATAATAAAAGCAAAACTAAATGAAAGAAAGAATAATTAAATAAATATAGAAATAAATATCAACAAATAAACAAAACACACCTGATAAATAAATAAGCAATAAAAAAATAAATCAATACATAAATAAATAAATAAATAAATACATAAATGAATACATAAATAAATAAATATATAAATAAATAAAAGCAAAAGTGAAATGTACAAATAATTAAATAGACATGAAAAAATATATATGAACAAATAACCAAACAAACAGACCCATAATATGAATAAATGAAAATAAATAAATGAAATAAATACACATACATAAATAATAAAAGCAAAACTAAATGAAAGAAAGAATAATTAAATAAATATAGAAATAAATATCAACAAATAAACAAAACACACCTGATAAATAAATAAGCAATAAAAAAATAAATCAATACATAAATAAAGAAATATTTAAATAAATACATAAATAAATAAATAAATAAATAAATCAAAGCAAAAGTGAAATGTACAAATAATTAAATAGACATGAAAAAATATATATGAACAAATAACCAAACAAACAGACCCATAATATAAATAAATGAAAATAAATAAATTAAATAAATACACACGCAGAAATAATAAAAGCAAAACTAAATGAAAGAAAGAATAATTAAATAAATAAACAAAACACGTGATAAAAATAAACAAAAATAAATATGTACATACATAAATTATAAATAAATATAAGCAAACTAAACATAATTAAATAAATAGAAGAACAGATAATTAAATAAATAAAGATGAACAAATAAAGAAACAAACATACGCAATCACGTGACATAGCGCGATATAGTCCAGCCCACATGATAATTGATAACTGTGGACGTTATTTGTCGACACTTGACAACAGACAACATTAAAAAAAAAACCCGTTACACGATACCATAACACCTTGACTAAAGTCTTCGGTGTAATTAAAACTGCGTATAGCAAAAAAATCTAAAATGGGGCACCTAAGCCGAAAAACCATTAGCAGAAAAAACAAGCCGACATCAACTTTTTTGGAACGGAATCTTTCCCGTTTGAAAAAAAAAACAGGTCCTGTCGGGATTCAAACCTAGGGGTGGAAAAACGACGGCGCTACCTCTAAGCCAAGAGCAAAAGAACCTATTAGATGCTAAGATTCAATAATAACGCAAGTTGAAAATTTGTAAAAGTTGTTCACGGGGAAAAAGTCGAGTTCCCCACTACAAGACATTTGCTTTTGCAAGTGTAAATAAACGGTTCAGTATCTTGGGCAGATTTACCATTTAAAACCTAATCCGCTGAATCCTTACTAAAATATATAAAAAATATATTTGACAGCCGTGTCATTTTCTTGTTTCATCGTGTCGTTTTCAAATTATTGTACTATCTGATGATTGAACTACACTCATAAAAAGCATGAAAACTTAGCTTCGCTGTCTGGAAATTATGTAAATGCTTTTAAATGTCTTGCTAAATTCTCTATACGAATTAGCAATAACCAGATGGAGAAACTAAAGATTTCAGCTGAGCGCTCATTTATGCGAGTTAGGCAGAGAATAAAATGAACTCGTAATGTAACACAAGCGGCTGCTTGTGTAATTACGAGTGAGAGGGCCGTCCAATGATAAATTACTCAACTCCATCTGATGCTTATTGGTGGTACACAAATCAACATGGGGGAAAACGGCGCTCAAAAAAGGAGCTCAAAAACGGCAAAAAGAGCAAATGCAAGAAAATAAAACAACTTCGATATAAAAAAATCCACACTATAAAATTCCAACTCAGACCTCCTGGCCAAAATTTGAAGTTGTTAGATACAAAGCAGCAAGGAATGTTCTGCACTAAACGGTGCTACTTGCGTCGGGACAAAAAGGGATGATTGTATAACACTCATCTTGCGTGCTCGCTAATATAAGTATAAACTCACGGCTCGACAGTTGTGTGCACAGGAATATCTCTCATCTGCTGTCCAGGTGCGAAAGGGATGCTTCTTAGGTTCTCAAACACCTTTGTCTTCACGCTTTCCAGATACTCGTTTGAATTCTGGTTGCTTTGGTTTGTAGGTGTGATGTGAAGGTGGAAGTCTGGACCATAGTACTCAAAATAGTCGTTATAGGGAAGGTCGTTTGAGACTTCGACACCTAAAGCTCTCGCTGTTTCCAGAGTCCAGCACCTGGCAACGTTCTTGATGGTGTAGCCTCCGCCTCCAAGCATCAATAGTGGCACGTTGAATGTTTTCATGAAATCAACACAATGCGCGTGACCTAAAATTCATCTTTATTTACTAGTTGTCAGCCATAACAAATTTCTGAACAACTCAAAGATCATGGAAGTTTCACATTTTACATATTCGTTTTTCCAGTTTTCTCATAATGATGGTAAAACTAGGAATGCAAATGCAATGAAGCTGTAACTTGCCTTTGAGAGTGAGATTGAAACATCCAAGTCTGTCTCCAGAAAGCGAATCGGCTCCGCACTGCAACACAACTGCACTGGGTCTGTATGTCTCCATCACTTTGGTCACGATCGGCTCGAAGATATTGATGAAGTTGGTATCGTCTATTCCATCTCGCAATGGAAAGTTTACTGCATAATGCTTGCCTTAAAATAAAGTTTTTGTTTGTATTATCGATTCTGAACAGTTTTTTAAGATTATTCCAAGAATTATGGCAACTGTTATTCACAAAAAATTTATGAGAAAAAAAAGAATTCTTGGAATAACTCAGTTCAATAATCTAACTTTTTGCCGGAATATCAAAATTATTTTCAAAAAATACGACTAAAACAATAAATATTTTCAGTATTGATTGGGATTATACCTCTAAAAATTATTATCGGGAATACGGCTTCGTCTACATAGCTTGATTTAGTAGATTATAAAATGCAAAAAAGTAACCTTTGCCAGCGCCGATGTCTTTCAGATCACCAGTTCCGGGAAAGTATTCCCCGTACTTGTGGAACGACACTGTCATCACTCGATCGGTTGTATAGAACGCCTCTTCTACTCCGTCTCCATGGTGGATATCAATATCCACGTACAACACTCGTTGATGGTATTTGAGGAGCTCCAAAATAGCCAGCACGATATCGTTAACATAACAGAAACCGGATGCCTCACTTTTCTTGGCATGATGCAAGCCTCCCGCCCAATTGATGGCGATATCTGTCTGTTTTTTGTTCAACTTTACAGCTCCTGCGATACTTCCTCCAGAAGAAATTTGACAGAAATCATAGAGGCCATGGAACACAGGGCAGTCTTCTCCCACGTTAAACCGCTGCAGTTGTTTACTGTAATCTGACATGTTATCAGGCATGATTTCTTGCAAGAATTTGACATACTCATCCGTATGATACTTGCACATTTCCTCAAAACTAGCCTAAATCCAATGATTGGTATCAGGCATGTCATAAACATGCGGCGCAGAATTCAACGTATTTTGGACAAATCGCAGAAAATCAATAATCCATAATATTCAGATTTTGAAGCTTTGTAATGTACTTAGATCAGAAAATGGGCGACAAATTTGTGGCGACATGAAACACAGATAATGTCACACAATGCTTTATTCTAAGCCGTATAAACAAAGCCAATTTTCAATTCAAATCAACCAAAAATTTAGTCAAATAATATGCATAAAATTTACGCTTTTTGCCGCAAATTTCCGTATGCTCCGCAGATTTTCGCCAAGCCTGATTGACATATATTAGAATTGAAATTCAGAACTTCTGCTTGAGAGTGGTCAAAGAAACTTTCACTTACCTTGAATGGTCGATAAACTTCTAGCTTGCGGTACAGTCCGTAATTCAGCAGGAGATTATGTGTCATTCGTATACGATGAGGCTTCATCGGGTGCCCTTGTCCATAATAAAAATTCCCTACATCCCCATCGTAATAATAAGATACTTTCTGATTGCCTGTAGTCATTGCGCTAATTCTAAAGAGGTATTCAATGTCAGATACATATGCTTTACAGAATAAGTGGCGTAAGAAAACTGGCATCAGAAAGACTAGCAACAATAAAATAATTTTCCGCCGTGTTGTACCTAAGCTAAGACCTTCCTAAGACAGTCAAACAGCCAAAACGCATCTTTAGTTATTCTGATATAGTCCCATATTTCTCCTCCGGTCAGAATACTATCCAATTGGATATTCAAGTTAGCAAGCAAAAGCTACGGATCAAACATAAATTATTGAGGCAATGCAGAAAAAAGAAAGCAACTGGATCTTATTAATGAGCCAGTTTCCGTTTAAGAAGAAGAAGAAGAAAGAACACTTGAATTACTATACAATAAAAAGCCGAGGCATCAGTGTAGCAAAGTGTAAATAATAAAATTGGTTATAAATTCATTGGTTACATCAAACAAAAACAAAACATCAGAAAACAAGCAATAAACAAAACAAAAAAAAAACCAAATCGGTTACAGTTCGGAAATTGGTTGATTAAAGTATATGAAGTTTCGGATACTATAGAAAATTAAAGATTTAAGAATTAGGAACAAGCTGGTAATAAAACTTTACAAACAATTTTACAGATAGTCCAATTATACAACGTATATACAGAGTATATACAGTTTCTCTTTCAAGCAATGTAGGAAAAATTAAACTGAATTAAAAAATATAGAACTAGCAAAAACGGTAATCACGCCACGTATTTGTATTAGTACATATAGGATTGTTTCTCAATTCACTCACGTAAAATTCTTTCAATTTTTTCTTGAATTCTGTTTTCGATTTTTCTAAATTGCGCAAAATTATGGGCAGTGAATTCCATTTTTTAGAAGTCAAATGAAAAAATGATTTTTGTAGAGAAGCAGTCGAACAATGTTTGTCAAAAATAATTTGTTTCGTTCTTTCGTTGAGCCTATAATTGGCAGTCGGTAGTCTCAGTGTATTTTCAAAAGCCTTCTTTTTGTTTGTAAGATATTGGTATAAGTATGTTATACACTTTAACTCAATTCTTTTCTCGATTCCAATGAACGATTTGCTAATGCGAAGAAGGGAAGAAGATTTAAAATTCGATCTGAAATATGTTCTTTTTAGCGCCCAGTTCAACTGTTTCTCCAGAGATAGCATCAAAGTAGCATTAATTTGTTGTAAAAAAATTGCTGAATAATCTAAATGTGATAAAACAAGACAATGAAGCAAGGCAACTAATGATAATGTCGGCAGTTGTTGTCCAATTGTATCAATAGTTTTAATCCCTTGGGCCATTTTTTGGAGAATTGTTTTGATTTGAGCATGAAAAGATAAACTTGAATCAAGAATTATGCCTAAATATTTGCATTCTGATTTTTTGGCTACATAATGCCCACTAATTACTAGTTTATCAGTATCCACATTTTTGCTATCATTTTTTTGACAAAATGTTATAAATTCCGATTTAGATGCATTCAGATTCAATTGGTTCTCTGCAAAAAATTCCGTTAGATTATTGAGTGATTTTTGCAATCGATTCAAAGCATCCTCAGAAATTATAGAAGAGGAAAAAACCATACAGTCGTCAGCATATTGAACTAAAGTACAACCCTCATATAATCGCTCTTGTATGTCATTAACATAAATATTGAACAACAACGGACCAAGTACCGTTCCTTGTGGGACACCTCGTTTTATTTCAATCCAGTCTGAAAAAATTCCATTGACGTTTACTCTTTGAATACGTTTGTTTAGGAAGCTAGCAATTAAAGCATTTGCTCCATTTGAAAAACCGAGAGAAAGCATTTTTTCAATTAAAACTTCATGCGAAATAGAATCAAAAGCCTTGGACAGATCTAATAAAGCTGCATGTACGATTTTTTTTGAATCTATTTGATTTCGAATACTTTCTGTCACATAAACAAGAGCATCTTGTGTTGAAATGTTTTTGCGAAATCCGAATTGAAATGGTGTCATTATTTGAAATTTGTCAAGATGTTCTGTTATTTGGGCATGTAAAATTTTTTCAAAAATTTTAGAAAAAGCACAAGTTATTGATATTGGCCGATAATTTTTTGCATCCATTGGGTCATCTTTTTTGAACAAAGGGGTTACGTTTGCTTTTTTCAGTTCGATCGGGAAAATGTTCTCATCTAAGCAAGTATTTATGACAAAAGTTAAATGTGGAACTATAACTGATTGACCGTCAATGATTGCCCAAGCAGGTACGGTACAAGGTCCAAGAGGTTTTCCAACATTGATTTTTCGAACTATATCAAAGCATTGCTTCACTGTAATGTGTTGAAAATGAAAAGATGCAGATTCAGAGGCAGATTTGTTGTAATTCGGAGGCTTTTTAGCGCCGAAAAATTCGCCTAAGTTTGAAAAAATATAATTTAAATGATTGGCAATTTTTTTGTCTTGGGTTATCATTTCACTGAAGGAATTTCGTAGAACTGTAATTCGATGGTTGCCAGAACATGTACCTCTAACTTGGTTAATATATTTCCATTTTTGTTGGATAGTGCTGAGAAGTGAAAAACAATTTTTTGAATGATCGAATTGTTTACTTCTAATCAATTTGCTCATTTGATTACGTAAAAACTGGTACTTTGACCAATTATCGCTTGTGCTTTGACTGCGATATGATCTGAGTGAATTCTGTTTCTTAGTCAACAATTGCTGACATTCTGAATCGAACCATTCCGTTTTCAACACGTTTTTTGGTTTAAAATTACGAACAAACTTTTTTTCGATAGGAGCATGTTGCTGTAGAGCACAAGAAATTAAATAAATCATCGTCGAGAACATGTTTTGTGCGTCTGTACATTGATATAAGAGATACCAAGGAAGAGCGGAGAGTGAATTGCAAAATTCATTTTTCTGATAATTTTTCTTATTGAAAGTCGTAATTATCCTCGGTAAAATTTTGCCGCATTTTATATCCGTCAAAATAAATGAAGCAAAATGGTCGGTTTTATAAGGTGTATCAAAACAAAACTCAATGCCGTTTGTTTCATAGTCACTGATTATGTAGTCGATATGAGTTTTTGTTGAGGAACTAATTCTGGTCTCATCGTTTGGACAAAAAACCTTCAATCCATATGGAATAATTATAGAATCTAAATTTTCTTTTTCTTTGCTATCCAGATAATTTATGTTATAATCACCCAAAAGCGTAATTTTATTAGAAACTGAAAAAGCATTATCTATGTTAAGCGTTAATTGTTCCAAAAAATCAATAAAGTTTGATCTGCTTGGGTTATAACACAAATTAACTAACATTTTTTCTTTACTCGAAATGTTAAATGTAGATTTGCACTCAACCCACACTGACTCATATTTTTCTTTATCAAATAAATTTAGATCAGGCCTCAATTTCGGAGCCAATTTGACTGGTATATATAACAAAACGCCACCGCCTTTCTTTTTTACCGCTGATTGCCTATCATATCTGAACATCGCATGCGTTCTAGGTTGGACATTCCATAAATTGTCACTATCTTCTTTTTTAAGCCACGTTTCGGAAATTCCTATAATTGTGTTTTCGCCCATATCATCAAGAAATTTTTTCAATTGCATCCGTTTTCTAATAATACTTTGAAAATTCAAATGAACAAATTTAAGATTTGCACAATTTTTTGAGCAGATACCGTAGACTGTTTCAATGGTTTCGATAGGACCAGGGTTTTTTTCAACATCCCCACTTTGGGTCAGTAACAACGCGAAAAGGAAAAGATGAGTCAGTGTGGTAGCTCTCCGCTCATTTATCCCACATTTCGTTGATAATATCTTTTGCTGGCAGCTTAGATAGCCCCAGTAAACAAAAGTTTTTTCTTTAGTTTCCATCTGAGCCTTGGAAATTAGAAAAATTGCACAAAACAACCAGAATTTAATATTCAGCATAATAGGTTAAATAAATTAAATGATCGCCAAAGTTTGCACCAAGAAAAAATGCGAAACTAGTATTTCCTAAAAAATTTTGCACCGTTTTGGAAAAATTGTAACATTTCTGCCGTTTTTGGATCTAAATTTGATGATTGTTTGGTTTGCTTCATTCTGGGGCGGGTTGTAATCTCACATGTGTTTGCATTAATATCAGAACCCCTAAAAGAATCTCTAAAACTTTGCACCAAAATTTCAACACCCCCATCAGAAGGATGCAAACCATCCGAGCTAAGAGCATCTGTATTTTGACTAAAAATTTTGTTTATGTCTAAAATATCCAATTTTACTTCGCCCAAGTCTTTTACATTCCGTACTAAATTAAGAATTTGCTTGTTTAGCTTCTGTACATTTGGATTAAAATCTTTTCTAAAAGCGCCTAAGGGAGTTACAGTACATAGTGAAATTGTTTCTGGGGAGAATTTATGATTTATGAGATAAATTAGTTTTTCTAAGCTACTCACGGCTTCCTTCGCGTCGAAATCACTTGAGAGGCAGTCATTTATTCCAATTAGCGTAGTTACATGTTTAAAATGTCGCGATTTACTGTTTCTCACGCGTTCCAGCAATGCAGAAATTTTGTGCCCACCAAATCCTCTCGCCAACACATTTTCCGATATTTGTTCCCCATTGATTCTGTTAACAATTGAGTCTCCCAGTAATAGGCCAGAATATTCTCCTTCTCGTGGTAAAAATAAATGTTTTCGTTGCTGGTCGAATTTTTCTTCTTGAATATTGGTTGCTTGTATTTTGATTTCTTGGTTATTCTTGCTTTCTTGGTTATTTTCGCTTCGTTTGTTCTGATTTCTGCTCCGAGTTCCAATCTTGCTCCATTCGTTTTCAAATTTGTTTTCTGTAATTTTCGAATTGCCCGTGTTTTTAAAATTTTCTAGATCAAAAAATTTGTTTCCTCTTTCTTCCTCTTTCGTTGATACAGTTAAGTTTTCGATAATTCGTTTAAAATAAGTAACATTTTCGACTAAGTCTTTATACAGCTCGTATTTCAATTCGTCGTTCAGATTTCGGAAAGTTTCGAGGTCAAACATGTTGGCGATTAAAAGCGAAATTAAA